TCTCTAGTAAAACTTTATAAAAAGTTGTTTAAAACCAAAAAAAATATACGTTGACAGTTCAACAGTCTAATGGTGGGCTGTTTATAGTTGGACAAATAAACATTTGTACAAACAGAAAGCAATAAATTCTTCCTTATTTTGAGCATATAATAACTTACAAGACGTCAGCGATACGGGCTATATAAACTCCAAATAGAGAAGAATCGTGTGTGTTTTTTTTTCTATATTTCCTTCTTCTTTGGCAGAAACTTAAGACGTTCTTCTTGTGTATTGTCTGTCTGTTACGTGCAAATAGACAGTCAACTCCAATAAAAGTGAAGACCACTAGGAAAGTTTTGTGACAACATTTTTGTGTGAGTTTTTTTGTCTTGAAGACAACTAATATTAACACCATTTCCTAAGTGGAGCATATAAAAAAAATTTTTCCTTTAAGGGAAATTTTATTTTTTAATATTTCATAATATTTTTTATAGCTTTGACGAAATTTATGAAAATTTTTTGTAAAAAATTTCCCTTGTAGGGAAATTTTCTTTTTAAAGAAATTTTACATTATTTTTAACATATTTCTTCATAGTTTTAATTACTTTTTTGAAATTTATAAAAATTTTCAAAATTTCTCTTTTGTAAAAAATTTCCCTTAGAGGGAAATTTTATTTTTAAAGAAATGTTTATGGTATTTTAGCATATTTCAAAATAGTTTTAACTGATATTCAGAAATTTATAAAAATTTTAAAAATTTCCCTTCTTTAAAAAATGTCCCTTTAGGGGAAATTTTATTTTTAAATTATTTTTTACATTATTTCAGCATATTTCTTAATAGTTTTAACTGATATTCAAAAATTTATAAAAATTTTCAAAATTTCCCTTTTGTAGAAAATGTCCCTTGTAAGGAAATTTTCTTTTTTAAGGAATTTTACAATATTTTTAGCATATTTCTTAATGGTTTTAATTACTTTTTCGAAATTTATAAACATTTTCAAAATTTCCCTTTTGTAAAAAATTTCCCTTAAAGGGAAATTTTATTTTCAAAGAATTTTTTATAGTAATTTAGCATATTTCATAATAGTTTTAATTGATATTCAGAAATTTATAAAAATTTTCAAAATTTCCCTTTAGTAAAAAATTTCCCTTAAAGGGAAATTTTATTTTCAAAGAAATTTTTATAATATTTTAACAGTTTTCTTAATAGTTTTAGTTACTTTTTTGAAATTGTAAAAAATTTCCCTTAAACGGAAATTTTATTTTCAAAGAAATTTTTACAATAATTTAACATTTTTCATAATAGTTTTAATTGCTTTGACGAAATTTCCCTCGTAGTGAAATTTTATTTTTAAAGAAATTTTTAAAATATTTCCAAATTTTTCATAATAGTTTAAAACGTTATTATAAAATTTACAACATTTTTCAAAATTTCCCTTTTGGAAAAAATTTTCCTCTTAGGGAAATTTTATTTTGAAAGAAATTTTTACAATATTTTACCATATTTTTTAATAATTTTAATTACTTTTATGAAATTTACAAAAATTTGAAAATTTCACTTTTACGAAAAATTTCCCTTTAGGGGAAATTTTGTTTTCAAATGAATTTTTGCACTATTTTTACATTTTTCATAGTAATTTTAATTGCTTTTACGAAATTTATAAAAAAAATTAAAATTTCCCTTTAATTTTAAAAGAAATTTTTGTATTTTTTTAGTAGTTTTATAAGAAATTTATTAAAAAACTGTTTTCCCTCTAAGGAAATTTGCTGTTTTGAGAAACTTCTTTTTTTAGCGGGCAACGGTGTAAATTCACAATCACAATACAACCTACTAAATACTACAACTATTACTACTATCATTTACCTCTTCCACTTGTACTCAGAGCAGTCGGACAGACAGACATTGAAAAACATTGTTGTTGTTGTACTTATTTTGTAAATGGATGGCGATAAAGCTTTTCTTTCATTCTTCTTCCGTGTGTGTGAGAATAATTTTACGGTATTATTTTTATATTTTTCTATTTTGTATGTGTAAAATCATCCGCAACAATAAGAACAAAAAACCATAAGTTCATGTGAGAGAAAGAAAATTATTGTTTTTTTTTTACATCTTCTTCTATATTGTTTATAATACTGGACTTGGTTTGATTATGGGAAGTGTGATAAGAAAACAAAGTTGTTTTGGTATGTAAGCGTACACATAATGATGGAAGAAACAAAAAACTGAATACGATGATGTCGTAAAAATAAAGAGAACAAACATTGAGTGTTGCAACTGGAAATGTACATATTTTGTTTAGAATTTGTAAATATGTAAATAAAGCGTGTAATAATGGTAAATATGTAATGAAATCAAATACATAATAACAATAGAAGTTAGAAAGATATTTAGAATTTTAAATTTTAAAAGAATGACATTAAAGTTTAGTTATTTGAACTGTAAACAAAATTTTTGGGAAAATATAATCTTTTGTTTCAGAGTAGTATAAAGTTTCGTTAAGTTTCTTAAATTTCCAAGAAAATAAGAAATTTTTAAATTTAATTAATATTTAATTGTTAAAAACAAAAAGTTTTTCTGAATTTGGAAAACCGCTTTAATATACTAATTGAATATGTCCAAATTTCCTATTAAATGCTTTTTATTTAAAAACTAAAGTTTCGTTAAGTTTTTTAAATTGAACAAATTTTAAAATTTTTATGGTTATGCATAGAACTTTGAATAGTTCATACAAATTTAAAAATATTTTTCGTTAAAACGCTTTCGTTCAAAAAATAAAGTTTCGTTAAGTTTTTTAAATTATCTATAATAAGAAATTTCAATGGTTTTAGAAAACTGCTTTAATGTAGAATTGGAATGTAGAAAAATTTCTCTTCAAAAGCTTTTTGTTCAAAAAATAAAGTTTCGTTAAGTTTTTTAAATTGTCAAAAATTAAAAATTTTTATGGATTCCGAAAATTATCTTAATAAAGAAAAGGAATGTTTAAAAATGTCCTTTCTAATACTTTTCGTTCAAAAAATAAAGTTTCGTTAAGTTTTTTAAATTGTCCAAAAAGGAAATTTTAATGGATTTGGAAAATTTGTTTAATATAAAAATGGAATGTGTAAAAATTTCCTTTCTCATGTTTTTCGTTCAAAACATAAACTTTCGTTAAGTTTTTTAAATTGTCCAAAATTAAAAATTTTAATGGATTTAGAAAGCTGTTTTGAAACAGAATTGGAATATGTAAAAATTTCCTTTCCAACGCTTTTCATTCAGAATTTAAAGTTTCGTTAAGTTTTTTAAATTATCCAAAAAAGATAATTTTGATGGATTTCGAAAACTACCTTAATAAAGAAAACGAAGATATAAAAATTTCCTTTCTAATATTTTTCGTTCGGAAAATAAAGTTTCGTTAAGTTTTTTAAATTGTCCAAAATAAGAAATTTTGATGGATTTCGAAAACTACCTTAATAAAAAAAAGGAAGATATAAAAATTTATTTTCTAATGCTTTTCGTTCAGAAAATAAAGTTTCGTTAAGTTTTTTAAATTGTCCAAAAAAGGAAATTTTGATGGATTTCGAAAACATGTTTAATAAGAAATGGAATGCGAAAAAATGTCCTTTCAAATGCTTTTTATTGAGAAAATAATGTTTCGTTAAGTTTAGAAAATAAAGTTTCGTTAAGTTTTTTAAATTGTCCGAAATAAGAAATTTTAACAGCCTTTATTAAAAATTTATTTTCATAAAACCATTACAGCTAAATTTTCTTTCAAAAGTTTTGAAACAGAATTGGAATATGTAAAAATTTCCTTTCCAACGCTTTTCATTCAGAATTTAAAGTTTCGTTAAGTTTTTTAAATTATCCAAAAAAGATAATTTTGATGGATTTCGAAAACTACCTTAATAAAGAAAACGAAGATATAAAAATTTCCTTTCTAATATTTTTCGTTCGGAAAATAAAGTTTCGTTAAGTTTTTTAAATTGTCCAAAATAAGAAATTTTGATGGATTTCGAAAACTACCTTAATAAAAAAAAGGAAGATATAAAAATTTATTTTCTAATGCTTTTCGTTCAGAAAATAAAGTTTCGTTAAGTTTTTTAAATTGTCCAAAAAAGGAAATTTTGATGGATTTCGAAAACATGTTTAATAAGAAATGGAATGCGAAAAAATGTCCTTTCAAATGCTTTTTATTGAGAAAATAATGTTTCGTTAAGTTTAGAAAATAAAGTTTCGTTAAGTTTTTTAAATTGTCCGAAATAAGAAATTTTAACAGCCTTTATTAAAAATTTATTTTCATAAAACCATTACAGCTAAATTTTCTTTCAAAAGTTTTCGTTCAGAAAATACAGATTCGTTAAGTTTTTTTACTGCCCAAAATAAGAAATTTAACAGATTTTATTATAAATTTATGAAACGATTCAAAATCTTTTGCTTCAGACATTAAAGTTCGTTAAGTTTTCAAAATTGTCGAATTTAAGTTAGTTCCCATAAAATCAATTTGTTAATTTAATCAACAAAATATTAATTAATATATTAATACAATCTATTAAAAGTGATTAAATATTTTAGTTTTCATTACATTTTTATATTCTTCTATTTTCCCCAACACAAAAAAATCTATTTTAAAACCTTCTCTCCCTTTAAATGAGAAGAAGGGCATAACATTAATAAACACACAAATAAACCCCCCCCCCCTCGCAACAACAACTACAAAGTAGGGAATTTAAACCAACAACAAAATGAACTAACGGAAACAACAGGGAGTTGAATGAATGAATGAAAAAAAGAAATAGTTGAAGAGGGAGGTAGGTAAATAGGGAGTAAAGTGTGGGAGTGAAAAAAAGAGGAAGCTGGATGCTTGGATGGATGAATGTTTGTATAAATGAGATGTCAAATCATTAAATGAGAAATTGTGGTAGAGATTTTTTTACGAAAGACTACAAAAAAAAACTTAAAAGTACAGATTTGTTGGTCACTTTTTCTTTAAATTAGAACTTTTTTATTTAATTACCTATTATTTAAAGATAAACACACAACTTACCCAAAATAAAATATTGATTAAAACCATTAAAAATTTCACACATGAACAGCAGCCGTTGAGACCCATTTTTGTTGTTGTTTTCTACCTTCTTTTCGCCTTAACTTTAAATAACAGTGGTTGTTGTTGCAATTTTCTTTTTTTTTAATAATAGAGTTTTATTTCCTTTTTTGTTGATTTCCTCTTCTTGGTGTATTTTCCTTTTAATTCCTGTACTTTATTTCTTCTTATTTTAATAACAAGGAGCAGTTAATGCACGCAAAACACATACTCTAATTAGTATTTCTCTCCTTTTTTGTTGTTTTTCTTTAGCAAATTTTACACATACTTTACACTTTGAGCACTATTTTGTGGTTTGTTTTTATTGTTGCTTTTTTCGTTTTTAATCACTGCTGCTGCATCACTATTAAAAAAATTGTACCTGTAATTGCTTTTAATAAAAGGGTGATTTTTTGGTTTTAATGGATTATTGGGAATTCTTTAAAACATCCATGAATTTAGTTCAGTTCTAGTTCAATTCCAGTTCAGTTCTAGTTCAGTTCTAGTTCAGTTCTAGTTCAATTCTAGTTCAGTTCTAGTTCAGTTCTAGTTCAGTTCTAGTTCAGTTCTAGTTCAGTTCTAGTTCAGTTCTAGTTCAGTTCTAGTTCAGTTCTAGTTCAGTTCTAGTTCTGTTCAGTTCTAGTTCAGTTCTAGTTCAGTTCTAGTTCAGTTCTAGTTCAGTTCTAGTTCAGTTCTAGTTCAGTTCTAGTTCAGTTCTAGTTCAGTTCTAGTTCAGTTCTAGTTCAGTTCTAGTTCAGTTCTCGTTCAGTTCTAGTTCAGTTCTAGTTCAGTTCTAGTTCAGTTCTAGTTCAGTTCTAGTTCAGTTCTAGTTCAGTTCTAGTTCAGTTCTAGTTCAGTTCTAGTTCAGTTTTAGTTCAGTTCTAGTTCAGTTCAGTTCAGTTCTAGTTCAGTTCAGTTCTAGTTCAGTTCTAGTTCAGTTCTAGTTCAGTTCTAGTTCAGTTCTAGTTCAGTTCTAGTTCAGTTCTAGTTCAGTTCTAGTTCAGTTCTAGTTCAGTTCTAGTTCAGTTCTAGTTCAGTTCTAGTTCAGTTCTAGTTCAGTTCTAGTTCAGTTCTAGTTCAGTTCTAGTTCAGTTCTAGTTCAGTTCTAGTTCAGTTCTAGTTCAGTTCTAGTAATATCGCCAATTTAAACACGTCTGCTACAAAAAGCACCTTATAAAAATTAAGACAAATCTAATAAAATCTGTAAAATTTGTTTAAATTTAATAAAATTGTGGTAATATCAAAACGAATCCAGTTCCTTTTCTGCAAAAAATTAGAACTATTTTTCATTCGTTCACTATTTGTTTTGTTATCCCTGTTTTAGCTACAGAATCTATAGGTACATTGTTTTTGTTATTTTCTCTTTTATTCCTTTTTTTCTTGCACGGTTTAGTTGTTTTTGTAATTTTTTTGTTTTTAAATTTTGCTTCTTTTTTTTTAACACACACTCGTTTGTACAGAGAGTTTAGTACTCTCCTCCAATTCTCGTATCAAATACTAAACTGGGGCTTCCTTTGACCTCTTTTAACTTTTTCTATCTTAAACGTATGTTTGTTGTTGTTGTTGCTTTTTACAGTCGTTTTTGTTGTTTTTGCTTTAATTTTCTGCAAATAAATTGTACGACTGACGGATAGACGACTGAAGAATGGTTTTTATTACTGGGATTCATTGACTTTTTATTATTTTATTTACTTGGTTTTCACTTTTTTCTATTATTTATTGTTAAATACAAAAATTTCTAATATAAACACCCACCACACTTGCAATAATTTTACTTTATTATTTTCTAATTTATTTGCTTTTTTGTTTAAACTCTTTCTATTCCTTTAACTTTGTCGATTTTAAAACGCGTTTTTGTTTTTCTATTTTTTCTTCGTTGTAGCAAAATTTTGTTGGTTTTTATTTAATTTCTCTCCACTTTTCTTATTTGATTTTATTATTTTGTATTATTTTAATAATAATTTTTCTAACAAAACCAACTTTTTTTCTTCTACCGCTCTGTTCGTTCTCTCGCAACTGTCTGATTTTAAAATTTAATAGAAGATTCAGTTTTCCCGTCTTCTGAGGATTTTCCAAAAACAGTCTGACAGATAGACAAACACACATGTATAAACGAAGATACAAAATAAAAACTACAATAACAACAATAATAAGAAATAAAGAGAGATTTAAATATACAGATTTAAATGACAGAGCTGGAAAATTGTACTTTTTAAACATTAGACAATAATCCAGTACTACTTAACATATTGATTTCTTCTTCAAAGAAATTAGAATTTTCTTTAAAATAATCGAGACTATTAGCTAAAAATGTTTAAAATTTAAGCTTTTTTTTAGGAAATTTTTCTTTCATTTATAATAATGTACTTTATTTTGGTTTTCAAATTATAAACTTTCCATCCCCTCCCTGTGTATTTGCGATTAGTTATTTGAGTAAACACATGCTCACTAATTTCTCTCTCTCAAATTTGTTCTGTGCCTTTTTACTCACCAGATTTGGTATAACTGGGAAAAAATAATAATAACAAAGTGCTATTGAGGGGTTTTATAGGAATTGTAACGTATTTTTAAAATTTCTTGTGATTCAAAAATTGGGTTTTGTATACAACATAGTTGAAATAAAAAGTTGACTTTTTGTCTTTTTGGAATTGAAGAAATAATCGAGTTTTTGAATTTTTAAAATTTATGGAAAGTCAACTTTAAAGATTCATATGTATATATGTATGTATATAATTCGCATCTAAAATTTCTAACTAACTAATTAATATGGAAACACTAATATTATCGTTTAATTAAAATATATTATTTTATTAAAATATTTCTAAGGTTCTGAATTTGGACTTGTTTTTGGTTGTTGTTAAAAACATTTAAAATTTAAATCAAATTTATTTTCTAACGGGTTTTTATGGTACTTAACTTTTTTCCCTTTAATTTAAAAAGCAACCAACACTGTTAGATAATAAACAGAGTTGTATTTGCAACTTTAGCTAAAATACTACAACAGCAACAGCAACACTGGCATGGAATAGGGAAAAAATAGTTTTTGACATTTTGCAGATGAAGAACAGAACTAAGTCTAGCCGCCGAACAAAATGTCAAAGCCGCTGCCTCCGGAAATTTTTCAGCTTAAGACAACTTGAAAATTTCGCTATATTTTGTATTATTTACAGAGCAGTTTCGCTAAATTTATGGAATTTTACAAAAATGGCATATTAAATGTAAACAAAAACCATTCAAACAATAACAACTTTTGACAGAAATCATACTCTACATAAAAGTAAAAAATATAATCAGCTGCTTTATCTCAGTCACCTTTTTTATTATACCATGGTTGTATAGTTTTGCCTCAGATCCTACTCTGGTAGACAATCCCGATTTTTAAAATATTTGCTTCCAAAATCCCACTTTTTAATATCTCGGATTCCGTTTTTATTTAAAATCTTTGAAAATTTAAAAACAGGCTTTCTATCGACGCCGACATTATAGTGTCAGCCGCCGCCGACATTAATATTTGTCGACGCAGGGCTCTAAACGTTCTCTGCTGTTGATTGCAAAATTTTCAATGATTTCTGGATAATTTTTCTTATTTTAAAGAAGTTTTTATAATAAAAAATACAAAAAATAAAACCAGTGAAATGTTTATTATAAATAAAATAATGGAATTAAAGTTTTTATGAAATAGAGAAGAAAAGATAACAAAAAAATCTCTTAATAAGAAGATAAAAATCGAAAAGTGTAGAAGTGAAAAAAAAGTGAAAAACTAATGAACAAAAATATTTGATTAAAGAATTTAGTTGTGACCAGTGGAAAGAAGGAACACACACAAAAAATATTAAAATAAAACTAAATGTTTTAAGAAGCTGTTGAAAGCAAATCAGAGAAAAAGAAGTGAATGGGGGTTCTATTATAGGAACAGAACAAAAAAAAAAAAATAAAAATACAACAAAAATAATAGAAATATTTAAAGAAAATCAAAAGAATTTTAATACAAATTGTCAGCAAGGGGTATGTGCCACCATTGTACGTACGAATGTCGACAATTCGTAAGAAATTTCATAGATTTTATGGCAAAAAAACAACATTAACAATAATTGCAAATAGCAGACAACTAGAACAACAACAAGAATAAGTATAAAATAAACATAATTAAGAAGAAAACGTCATTTAAATTATGGCCAATAATAATGCTGCTGCTTCAACTTCATCGGCTGCTGTGGCACCCTACATTAAACAATTGCCTGCCTCTAATTCATCCTCCAGCCAACAATGGATTCAACAGTTGACGGTGGTGTGTGTTATAGACACTCAGTTGGGTGATCATTTGAAGGATCGTGAATGTGCTTTGGAGGAAATACAACAGGCGGTGTTGGCTGTGGGGGCCAATTTTCAAAGGGTTCAGGTAAGAGTTTTGATATTAAGGCGGGGTAATGGGGGAGTTGTAACAGACACATGTTAAGTTGGTGTTATTGAGTTGACAATCCTTGATCGATGTTCGTTGAACTCTTAGTCGTTCCGTTGCGAAAAACCAATTGTCGTGCAAACGTCTGGGGAGCGTGGGGGAGTACATCTGTCTAGCTGTATCCTATTTTTTAAAGGAAATTTCTAGATTTTTCGGCAAAAAAAATTTTCGTTAAGTTTTTAATACACAAAATTTTCACTCAAATCCGTTTGGTTTAGAAAATAAAGTTTCTTTAAGTTTTTTAAATCTTCAAAATTTCGAAATATTTTTAATTTTTAATAGTTTTTGATATACATATTATCAAAGAATATAAAAAATTTCCTCTCGAATCCGTTTATTTTAGAAAATAAGTTTTTTAAATCGACAAAATTTCAAAATATATCTAAATTTGTATAGTATTTGATCTTAAATAATACACAAATATTACCATTCAAATCTTCTTGATTCATAAAATAATGCTTCGTTAAGTTTTCTTAAATTTACAAAATTTAAAATTTTTATCTAGATTTATTAGAAGTTAAAGTTTTGTTAAAATATTTTAAAAATAAATTTTCGTCAAATTTTTAAAAATAGCTAAAAATTTAAAGATAAAATTTCATTAAGTTTTTTTCAATTGCCAAAAAATTTTGGACTTTGAACTTAAACTATACTATAGATTACATCAATAACCCATTTAATTTAAATCAATTATTTTTCTAAATTCATTCAACAGCAACAAGATTTTTTAAATTTTCTTCTATATACTTTTTTTTCTTCCTCTTCTGTTTTTAGTTTGACAAATTAGATTTCGGTGAAACGAAAAAATTGGAAACATTTTATAATGCTGATGTCGCTGTCATCGATTTGAGTATACAGGCTCATCAACGATCTTTATCGTATCATTTGGGTGTACGAGAATCGTTCAATATGAAAGAGAATATATTGATCTATAATGATGTACATTCAAAACAGACCTTAAGTTTAAAGGTAAGTTCTTGTAAGTTGTAGTGGCTGTAAGAGGCGCCTCACAGACCATATGAATGAAATTGTGTTCTTGTTTTTGTGTATGTTTTTTTTTATTGATTGTATTTCCGTTTTAATAAATTTAATTGTTACTAAAGTGCATTTATTTAAATATATTTTAAAGATAAAGTGTGTGTGTTTTGTTTTGAATGACACCTACTCTTTTTTTTCGAAATTAATTTACATATTGTTGTTGATTTTCGTTACAAAATGAATAAAATGTTTTGTTGTTATTTTACAAAATTTCAAACGTTTTATAACTAGCTAAAGATATATTTAATTATTTCTTGCTAAACAGAGATGGGATTTAGTCAAGGTTAAAAATTTCAAAGAAACATTTTCAAGAAATTTTAATAAACAAAAAATTTTAAATGATTTTTCATAATTCGCTCTCAATTTCGCAAGTTTATGTGAAATTTCACCAAAATTTTATATTTTGTTTTAAATTAAAAGATTTTTTTTTTGAAATTCCACAAAATTTACTTCTTTTCATTATAATTTTAATTGGTATTTAAAATAGAAACATTTTAAGTGATTTTCGAACTTAATTTCGAAATTTTTTATTGCTATATTTTGCTTAAATATTATGGAATTTAAATAATTTTGTACATTTTTGCTTTAACTTCGAATTTTTAAAGAAATTTTACAAAAATTCTGTTCTTTCATTAGGTTTTTGATCAGAATTAAAACTTTGTGATTTTCGAAACTTTTAATTTAAGTTTGAAATGTTTTTACTCTATTTTATTGACAAAAAACAAAAGGCCCTATCTACAAAAATATTTAAATATTAAAGGTAAAAAGTACAATTTATCCATTTTTATATACGCCATTGTCAACTATCATAACAACTGATAGGTTTCACTATTAAACAATTTGTTTATTTACGACAAACAAATCACGTTGATAGAAACAAACTTTTCAATTTAAATAGTGTTTTGCTTCTCTTGTAAAATTTTAAAAATGGTAGATAGGGCCGTTTGCGTTTTAGGTGACGATATATTCCTTAACCCCCATTTTCTAGTTATTTTTTAACTTTAAGATATATTGACAGTTCTCATACAAAAATTGTCTTAACTGGGAGAATAACTACCAATTAACCAATAACTTTAGGTGATGAAAATGGGGGCATATGTAGTTAGTTAGTTAGTTAGTTAGTTAGTTAGTTAGTTAGTTAGCTAGCTAGTTAGTTAGTTAGTTAGTTAGTTAGTTAGTTAGTTAGTTAGTTAGTTAGTTAGTTAGTTAGTTAGTTAGTTTAGTTAGTTAGTTAGTTAGTTAGTTAGTTAGTTAGTTAGTTAGTTAGTTAGTTAGTTAGTAGTTAGTTAGTTAGTTAGTTAGTTAGTTAGTTAGTTAGTTAGTTAGTTAGTTAGTAGTTAGTTAGTTAGTTAGTTAGTTAGTAGTTAGTTAGTTAGTTAGTTAGTTAGTTAGTTAGTTAGTTAGTTAGTTAGTTAGTTAGTTAGTTAGTTAGTTAGTTAGTTAGTTAGTTAGTTAGTTAGTTAGTTAGTTAGTTAGTTAGTTAGTTAGTTAGTTAGTTAGTTAGTTAGTTAGTTAGTTAGTTAGTTAGTAGTTAGTTAGTTAGTTAGTTAGTTAGTTAGTAGTTAGTTAGTTAGTTAGTAGTTAGTTAGTTAGTTAGTTAGTTAGTTAGTTAGTTAGTTAGTTAGTTAGTTAGTTAGTTAGTTAGTTAGTTAGTTAGTTAGTTAGTTAGTTAGTTAGTTAGTTAGTTAGTTAGTTAGTTAGTTAGTTAGTTAGTGGTTAGTTAGTTAGTTAGTTAGTTAGTTAGTTAGTTAGTTAGTTAGTAGTTAGTTAGTTAGTTAGTTAGTTAGTAGTTAGTTAGTTAGTTAGTTAGTTAGTTAGTTAGTTAGTTATTCATTACGCGGACTGACTAAACTAATACCTTCTTTATCTTCAATTTAAAAACTAGAAATATAAGCTTTTTTAAGTAGATTTTCTTTATCAGAATTCTTCATTTGTTGTTTTAGTAATTTATAGTAAACAGCTCTGATAATCTATAAAACAACACTTAGTAGATTGTTGTTTTTATTGCAATTAGTTTATTTGACATAAGAGCAACAATTGATCAAAGTATTGTATAACTTGTGAACAGGGATGGGAAACTTAAGTAATTTAAATTTTTCCGTATTTAAAGTTTTTCAAAAAGAAGTTCCAATTAGTTGAAATCTGTGCAATAAAATCTTTTAACTTTATGTCAAAAAAGTTTTCTACTTTATGGTCCCTCGTCCTGTCTCAATAAGCTTTACCCTAAAATGTCCATTTAGTTTTTTTGTTTATTTATTCATTGGTTTAATTTTTTTGTTTAATAGTTGTTACTGATTATTTTATCAGTCTCTTTTCAGCATTAAAAACTGGTTTTGTTTACACATTTTTACTTTTATTTCTTGTTTTAACTCCCACTTGTAGGTTTGTCAGTCCGTCCGTCCGACTGTCCGTCTGTTCGTTTTTTTCATTATTTGCTTTAATACGTTTATTTACACATTCATTCATGTATTTATTTTGTTTTAGTATTTTTTTCTAGCTTTTGTATTTATTTATTTGCGGTTTTTTTGTTTTGCTCTTTATTTTTGGTTTTGTTTACATTACAGCTCATTTTTTTAGTTGCTGGTTTTTTTTGTTGTTAATAAATGTTTTATTAATTAATTTAATTGCTGTCTAAATTTTTTTATTTAAGGCTTTAAATTCATTGTTGTTTTTTTTTTTTTGTTGTTAGAATATTGTTTATCTTTAAGCTTTTTTTTTATATAAACATTTAGGGAAATTTCTGCTGTTGATTTAAATTTTCTTCCAATTTTTTTTCGTTTCACAATTGGATATCAATCAATCCTTACTAAAAGGCGCCTTTTTGGGGAGGGAAGCATTTTTATAATTTGTTGTAAACAACTTTTTTGCTTTGGTTGCTTTTTTACATTAAACCACAACCAAAATATTGTTGGTGTTTTTTAACATTTTTGTTTAATTTTCGAATTTTAAATTGAAAATTTTGAAAAAAAAATTTTAAAATTTAATTTCGAAATTTTTATTTTTGCTTTAAGACCTTATTTTATGCTTAAATATTATGAAAGTAGAAAGATTTTGAGGTTTAGGGAAATTCGAAATTAATTTCGAAAATTCGAACTTAATTTCGAAAATTTTATTTTTGCGCTAAAATGTCTTCTTTTGCTTAAATATTAAGAAAATAAAAAAGTTTTGATATTTTTAGACATTTTGCTTTATATTTTAAGATTTTTTTCTAATATTTTCTACTTTTATTTTCATTTTCCTTCCAGCTTTCCTTTCCCAATTATACATTTTTATCGTACAAACTTAACACCGAATATGGTGTTTGTAATTTAACCAATTTCAATAAGGAATTACCGGCTGATACAAAAATACCCACATTACAGTCCAGACTCAAACGTCTGCTGCAAGATGTGGAAATACAATCCAAGTAAGTTTTCCCTTTTTCATTTCTATAACAAACTTAATGTTGAGACCCCTTTCCTTTTTATTCTAGAGCCCACATGCGTGAAAAATTCTTAATGGATTTGCGGCAGGCTCGTGAAACTTATGCCACCAACTCTAAGAAATTGCAAAGTATTCTACATGAAATGCGCAAACGTTTAGATGATGGTCATGTCTTGTCGGGCGAAGTGGTGCACAGTTTTATGTGTTCTCTAAGAGATGTACAAGACTATGATGCCATGGTGTGTTTGGTTAATGATTTAAAGAATATACCCAATACTAGGAAATATGTGGAGACGGGTAATATGAGCTTTTTATATGCCTTTGCTTTGAATCGACGTAATAAGAAAGGAGATCGTGAAAAAGCTTTGGAATCCTCCTTAAAAGCCTTGGAAAAGAAAGAAAATGAATTCCCCGATATGTTGTGTTTGTGTGGCCGTATATATAAAGATATATTTGTGGAATCAGATTATACGGATACCAATAGTTTGCGAAATGCTATCAAATGGTATAGACAAAGTTTCGAGGTTCAGCCCAATGAATATGCAGGCATTAATCTGGCTACTTTGTTGGTCATAGATGGCAAAGAGTTTTCTAATACCGAGGAATTACAGCATATAGGCATGACCTTAAATAATTTAATTGGCAAAAAGGGAAGTTTGTCCTCATTGACGGAATACTGGGATGTGGCTACTTTCTTTGAGATATCTGTATTAGCAGAAGATTATGCTAAAGCTATTAAGGCTGCAGAATGCATGTTTAAACTCAAGCCACCCAATTGGTATTTAAAATCTACCATAGGCAATATCAGTTTAATACATTGTTTTCGCAAGAAAAGTGATGATCATCAGCCCACCATTGAAGAGCAAATCTTTCAATTTTGGATGGATTTCTTTCTCTATGCCACGGATAGTAGTAAAATTACTAACAGTATAAGGTTTCCCATATTGGTGAGTTTAGAGAAGAGATATAAAATTTCAAGATAAATTGATTTAATCTTCTTCTTTTTAGATCGTGGAACCTCAAAAAATCTATATGCCCAGTTATGTTAATATCAATATGGATGCTGAGGAAAAATCCATACAAATTATTAACACTTGTTTGGCTCATGCCAAGAATGAGTGTAAAAAGGTGCATGATTTTGTATTCACTGCCTCACAAATCAAATCGGTTAGTTTGTATAAACGTGATGATCGTTGTGCTTACCTTTATGTACATCACAATTCAGATGATTTTCAAATTTATTTTCCCTCCACCGAATGTCGTCAAAGATTCTATGAATTGATTTGGGAAATGGCTTCGGATCAGGATGTGTTTGTTAATCTCAACGAAGAAGAGCCACCACAAATAGAGGTTTTTATTTAATTACAAAAAAAAAATCCTTTTAAATTTAGAAAAATAATTCAAAAATATTCTTATTTTAGTATGAGTATGATTATGATGATCAAAATCGTAAGATAGTTTTGGGTAAAGGCACCTATGGTACTGTTTATGCTGCTCGTGACAAACATACTCAAGTTAGGATTGCTATTAAAGAGGTGCCGGAAAAGAACTCTCAAGATGTTCAGCCATTGCATGAGGAAATCAAACTGCATTCTCAACTAAGGCATCGTAATATTGTCAGGGTTAGTATTTTCCAATTCAAAAACCATTTGAAAATTTTGTTAATTTCTTTTTTTTTCAAACCCTTCTAGTATATTGGTTCTTTATCTGAAGATGGTTTCTTTAAAATCTTTATGGAACAAGTGCCTGGTGGTTCTCTTTCTGATTTGCTAGAAAAGAAATGGGGTCCTTTAAAAGACAACGAATCTACCATGGCATTTTATTCTAAACAAATTCTTGAAGGTCTCAAATATCTGCATGAACAGAAAATTGTTCATCGTGACATCAAAGGTGACAATGTGCTCGTCAATACCTATAGTGGTGTAGTGAAAATATCTGATTTTGGCACTTCTAAACGTTTGGCTGGTATTAATCCTATGGTTTCCACCTTTACCGGCACCTTACAGTACATGGCTCCCGAGGTAATAGATTTGGGTTTTCGTGGTTATGGTCCTGCTGCTGATATTTGGTCTTTTGGTTGTACTAATGTGGAAATGGCCACTGGTAAAAGACCTTTCATAGAGCTAGGTTCTGCCCAAGCAGCCATGTTTAAGGTGGGTTATTATAAGAAACATCCCACCATACCAGATGAATTATCACCAGCTGCTAAGAATTTCATATTAAGATGTTTTACCATACAAGAGTCGGAAAGACCTACAGCGGCTCAATTGCTAGAAGATCCATTTTTAACAGAGTGAGTAGCTGGCTTTGAGATAATTAAGAATTTAGAAACTATTTTTCGCTTTTGAAATTTTAGTAAACATCGTAAACTTCGATTGGGTGCTAGTACAAATGCCGACTTTAATCGCAGTATATCGGTACCGGCAGATCGTTTAGTTAATCGTCCCAGGTCTGGTAATACTCCCACAACTCCCGAAATAGAGTGAGTAGAAAGTTTTTAAAGAAATTTTATATTAAATAGAAAATTTGTTTACAGTTGTGATAAGGTTTTTCTTAGAGAAAAGTTGTTCTTATCGGGACATGTTTTCATATAGAAAACATGTTCCCATTAGGACAAGTTTTCTTAAAGAAAAGTTGTTCACATTGTTAGAAGTTCTTGTATAGAAATTTGCTCAAATTCTTTTCACTTTTTCCAGAGGTTTTCACAGTACATCCGTAGACATTGAAAATCTACCCAGCCATCAACCGTCATTTAGCATGGAAAGACGCAATTCATCGGGCACATTACTCTCACCCGAAATTGAAGTATCAACACCATCATTGCGTACCGGTGCTAGTTCAGAGACCAGTGAAACAAATGATTTTTATCATCTAAAAAAAGAATCTCAACGTCGTACGACACTCTCAAAAGTTCTAACGACGGATGAGTCGAAAATATGTGATCTCTGGCTGGAAAAGTTGCACGATGAACACAGTAATATTGTGGCCATAACGAAAAATGAATTGCAAAAACTTTTACATGGTATACGTGAATATATCATGAATGAAAAGGAAAAACAGTTAGAGGCTTGCATAAATAGTTTAAAGGAAGAGTTAAGCTATGATGCTGCCGCATTAGATCATTTGCATTTGGCTTTGTATTCATTTCAAGATGCTGTTATATCGGTGTTAAGATTACATTCGATTAAACCGCATTGGATGTTTGCTTTAGATAATCTAGTGAAACAGGCAGTGCAGGCTTGTGTTATGATTTTATCCCCAGAATTAGGTGCCAATCTATTGGGTAAAGAACTTTCTTTAATAGATGATGAAAGTGTACACAATCAACAGCATACTTCCACTGATAGCCAAGAGAAAATAGCCGCCTTTGATCCTAATCATATAGCCAGCAGTAATAATACACCCGCCATGGAAGATGATAGTAATAGTTTTTCCTCCAATGAATGTGTGCGTCTACTCAGAGACATTAAGGAATCGAATCGTAAATTTCATCATCAACATTTGGAACATCAAAAGCAAAGTCTTAAAGCTTTACAGAATATCAGCAAGGAATTGGCTCATTTCTATATGGGCCGTAAACGTACCAGACGCACTAAGTACACAGCGGGCAACAAAAAGCCCAATCGCCAGTTGAAACGTCAATTTGCCCGCCGTTCTGTTAGTAATGTTAGTACTTATAATGGTGGTTTAGAGGAGGTGGACGAACAATTGGAGGAATGGTTGACCCAGCATGATATCGATGAGGTATCCAAGGCCACCATTTTGAATGAGGGTTTTTCCTATGAAGATTTTATTTACAATATGGAAAAACTGGATTTAATGAGATTAGATTTAAGGTAAGTGGCAAGAAGAAGTTATTCTATTGTGGTGGTGGGGAGTTGATTTATATTTTAAGGTTAAGAAGAGCTCATTTTATTAACAAATTCATTTACATTAAGAAACCATTTTAAACTTTTCACTTTCCTTTTTTTATAAAATCGTAAGTAACACAGCCAAGGTCAAGACAATATCTATTTTATACTAAGAAATGAATTGCCAATTTCGAATCTTTTATTTTTAATGAAAACCTAACTACGAAATTAAGTTTGAATTTTCGAAAAATTCTACTTTTAGTGCCAAAATTTCACGTTCGAAAATTTTCGCATATTGAAATCTTTATAAAATTAAAAAAAAAAATCAAAATTCTTTTATTTTTGTTACTTAAGGATGTAAAGGAATGATTTTATAGGATTTTTAATAATTCGAAATTATGTTCGAATTTTCGAAATTAATTTCGAATTTTCGAAAATGGGCTAAAAAGTTTAGATTTCAGGTATTCATTAAAAGTTTTAACGAATTTTCGTAAAATTTTAACATAATTTCATGTTCGAAAATTTTCGAACATAGAAATCGTTATGAAATATTAATAAAATTTCAAAATACCTTCGATATTGTTAATTAACTATGCAAAGGAATGATTTTTTAGGATTTTTAGAAATTCGAAATTAAGTTCGAATTTTCGAAATTAATTTCGAATTTTTGAAAACGTTTAGGTTTTGTTTGTTAAACGTTTAGGTTTCATGTACAGATTTAATTTTTGGACGAATATTTAAAAAATTTTAACTTTTGGTGCTAAAATGTCATGTTCGAAAATTTTCGAACATAGAAAACTTTATGAAAAGTTGAAAAAATTTCAAAATTCTTTTATATTTGTTATTTAAGAATCCAAAGGAATGATTTTTTAGGATTTTTAGAAATTCGGAATTAATTTCGAATTTTCGAATGTTCGAAACTTTTCGAACATAGAAAACTTTATGTAAAGTTGAAAATATTTCAAAATTCCATTTTCGAAAATTTTCGAACATAGAAAATTTTATGAAAAGTTGACCGAATTTTAAAATTCTGTTAATTTTGTTATTAAAGAGTGCTAAATAATGACTTTTAATGATTTTTAGAAATTCGAAATTAAGTTCGAATTTTCGAAATTAATATTAAAAAACTTTCATTTTCCAAAAAAATTTCAAATTCGAATTTTCAAAAATAATATCGGAAGTTCAAAATGTTGAAATTTTTGCAATATTCGTCTAAAATTGAAATGTAGACATGAAATTTCAGCTTGTTAAACATTTTCGAATACGCAAAGTTAATTTCGAATTTCTAAAAATCTTTAAAAATTATTCTTAAGCACTCGTTTTTAACAAAAATAAAAATTGAAATTTTGAAATTTTGTCTTCATTTTATTAAGTTTTCTATGTTCGAAAAGTGTTTAACAAGGATTTTTCAGGGAAATTTTCAAAATCAGGATAAAAATGTATTTACTTAAAGTTAAAAAGTGAATCTAGTGCATAAACACAAACAAATTTGTATTCTAACCGAAAAATATTCAATTTCAGAAATAAGAATTTAAGTGAAAAATTATGAAAAATATATAAAAATTAACATTACATTCAACATTCATTTAACTGCATTTAACTGCATTTAACCATTTCATTACTAACATGGTTTGTATCATTTTAAAATTACATCATCAAAATTTTTCCTAATTCGAACTTTAAAATTAATCAAAATTTCTTTTTCTATTGTTTATTTTTTACAGATTGGGTATTGAAGTACGCCTGTGGTCCTTAATCAATCAAAAACGTTCTGAGAATTTAGTGTCTAGCAATAATTTAGAGGAGCGACAAACAAATTCTTCTAATATAAACAACAATGTTGTTTACAGCAGCTGCAATAGTACTAGCAATGCAAATAATAATTTTAATAATAACAATAACTTCAATAACAACAATAATAACAATTCAGTGGCCTTAAATCATAAGCACTCACGCAGCTCTTTAAGACGCAATAGCAATAGACGTTATGACAGTGAATATGATTCTTGTAGTGAATAAATGTTTAAAAAAAAAACTTATAAAATTGTTAAAAAATTTTATTTTTTTTATATAAAATGAAATTTATTTTTAACTACGCTTTTGCAAACCTAAAGTTGATATTCATTTTCTTTTAATAACTTTACATGTTTTTGTTAATTATTGTTAATCATTTTTTTTAATGCTAACAATATGTTTATTTTTATTATTATTGTATAATTTCTTATTATAATTTTTATTTTTTATGATTTTTTTTCTTTTTGTGAAAAAAAGTAACATTTTATAACCTTAAACTACCCTTATTACCCCAGTCCTGCCTTATCATCCATCCCTGCCTTCCAAACTAAAAACCTTAAAAAAACAAAAGTTGAACATTATTAATTTAATTATTAAGTTGAGAGTTGAATAAAGTAAAAGCTAAAAAAGAAGAGTAAAGAAGTGTTGAAAAGAAAAACTAATTTATAAACAAAATGTAGTTTTTATTTGAAAAAGGGTGGAACATACGAAAATTTTTTTAAAATTCGGACTTAATTTCGAATTAAAAAAAATTTTGAAAAAATTATTTTTTTGCATTCTTAATAAACAAAAATAAAAGAATTTTGAAATTTTGTCCATATTTCATAAAGTTTTCTATGTTCGAAAAGTTTCGAACATGGAATTTTTGCACGAAAAGTTAAAAATTTAAAATTTTAACTTTTTATGTGATTTTTGGAAATTCGGAGTTAATTTCGAAAATTCGAACTTAATTTCGAATTTCTAAAAATTATAAAAAAATATTATTTTACATTCTTAGGTAACAAAAATAAAGGAAATTTTAAAATTTTTAATAATTTCATGAAGTTTTCTATGTTCGAAAATTTTTGAACATGAAATTTTTTGCACCAAAAGTACAAATTTTTCGAATATTTGTCAAAGTTTCAAATGTTTAGACGAAATTTGAACTTTTTAACACATTTTCGAAAATTCCAAGTTAATTTCGAAAATTCGAACTTAGTTTCGAATTTCTAAAAATCACTAAAAAATATTCTTTTGCATTCTTGAGTAACAAAAATAAAAGAATTTTGAAATTTTGAGAACATTTTAAAAAGTTTCAATTTTTGTACCAAAAGTTGAAAATTTTCAACTCTTCGTCTTAATTTTTAATGTATACATTAAATTTAAACTTTTTAACACATTTTCGAAAATTCGAAGTTAATTTGGAAATTCGAACTTAATTTCGAATTTCTAAAAATCATGAAAAATTATTTTTTTTACACTCTTAGGTAAGAAAAATAGAAGAATTTTGAGAACATTTCAAAAAGTTTTCTATGTTCGAAAATTTTCGAACATGGAATATTTACACAAAAAGTTGAATTTTTTCGAATATTTGTTAAAGTTTCAAATTTTTAGACGAAATTTAAATATTTTAGCACATTTTCGAAAATTTGAAGTTAATTTCGAAAATTCGAACTTAATTTCGAATTTCTAAAAATCATGAAAAATTATTTTTTTACACTCTTAGGTAAGAAAAATAAAGGAAATTTTAAAATTTTTATGAAATTTTTTTAACAAAACTCGTTAATTTCGAAAATTCGAACTTAATTTCGAATTTCTAAAAATCTTGAAAAATTATTCTTTTACACTCTTAGGTGAGAAAAATAAAAGATTTTTTAAATTTTGTGAACATTTCATAAAGTTTTCTATGTTCGAAAATTTTCGAACATGAAATTTTTGCACCAAAAGTTAAAATTTTTCGAATATTTGTCAAAATTTCAAATGTTTAGACGAAATTTAGACTTTTTAGACCATTTCCGAAAATTCGAATTTATGTTCGAAAATTCGAACTTAATTTCGAATTTCTAAAAATCATAAAAAATTATTCTTTTACACTCTTAGGTAAGAAAAATAAAAGAGTTTTGAAATTTTGAGAACATTTCATAAAGTTTTCTATGTTCGAAAATTTTCGAACATAGAATTTTGCACCAAAAGTTGAAAATTTTCAACTCTTCGTCTTAAATTTTAATGTATACATGAAATTTAAACTTTTTAACACATTTTCGAAAATTCGAAGTTAATTTCGAAAATTCGAATTTAATTTCGAATTTCTAAAAATCATGAAAAATTATTTTTTACACTCTTAGGTAAGAAAAATAAAGAAATTTTAAAATTTTTATGAAATTTTGTTAACGAATATTTGTCAAAATTTCAAATGTTTAGACGAAATTTAGACTTTTTAGACCATTTCCGAAAATTCGAATTTATGTTCGAAAATTCGAACTTAATTTCGAATTTCTAAAAATCATGAAAAATTATTCTTTTACACTCTAATATAAGAAAAATAAAAGAATTTTGAAATTTTGAGAACATTTCATAAAGTTTTCTATGTTCGAAAAGTTTCGAACATGGAATTTTGCACAAAAAGTTGAAATTTTTCGAATATTTGTTAAAATTTCAAATGTTTACACGAAATTTAAACTTTTTAACACATTTTCGAAAATTCGAAGTTAATTTCCAAATTTCGAACTTAATTTCGAATTTCTAAAAATCATGAAAAATTATTCTTTTACACTCTTAGGTGAGAAAAATAAAAGATTTTTTAAATTTTGTGAACATTTCATAAAGTTTTCTATTTTCGAAAATTTTTGAACATGAAATTTTTGCACCAAAAGTTAAAATTTTTCGAAAATTTGTCAAAATTTCAAATGTTTAGACGAAATTTAAACATTTTAGCACATTTTCGAAAATTCGAAGTTAATTTCGAAAATTCGAACTTAATTTCGAATTTCTAAAAATCATGAAAAATTATTCTTTTACACTCTTATATAAGAAAAATAAAAGAATTTTGAGAACATTTCATAAAGTTTTCTATGTTCGAAAAGTTTCGAACATGGAATTTTTGCACAAAAAGTTGAAATTTTTCGAATATTTGTTAAAATTTCGAATGTTTACACGAAATTTTAACTTTTTAACACATTTTCGAAAATTCGAAGTTAATTTCGAAAATTCGAACTTAATTTCGAATTTCTAAAAATCATGAAAAATTATTCTTTTACACTCTTAGGTGAGAAAAATAAAAGATTTTTTAAATTTTGTGAACATTTCATAAAGTTTTCTATGTTCGAAAATTTTCGAACATGAAATTTTTGCACCAAAAGTTAAAATTTTTCGAATATTTGTCAAAATTTCAAATGTTTAGACGAAATTTAAACATTTTAGCACATTTTCGAAAATTCGAACTTAATTTCGAATTTCTAAAAATCATGAAAAATTATTCTTTTACACTCTTAGGTAAGAAAAATAAAAGAATTTTTAAATTTTGAGAACATTTCATAAAGTTTTCTATGTTCGAAAATTTTCGAACTTAATTTCGAATTTCTAAAAATCATGAAAAATTATTTTTTTACACTCTTAGGTAAGAAAAATAAAGGAAATTTTAAAATTTTTATAAAATTTGTTTAACACATTTTCGAAAATTCGAAGTTAATTTCGAAAATTCGAACTTAATTTCGAATTTCTAAAAATCATGAAAAATTATTCTTTTACACTCTTATATAAGAAAAATAAAAGAATTTTGAAATTTTGAGAACATTTCATAAAGTTTTCTATGTTCGAAAAGTTTCGAACATGGAATTTTTGCACAAAAAGTTAAAATTTTTCGAATATTTGTTAAAATTTCAAATGTTTACACGAAATTTAAACTTTTTAACACATTTTCGAAAATTCGAAGTTAATTTCGAACTTAATTTCGAGTTTCTAAAAATCATGAAAAATTATTCTTTTACACTCTTAGGTAAGAAAAATAAAAGAATTTAGAAATTTTGAGAACATTTCATAAAGTTTTTTTTTTTTGCTCCAAAAGTTGAAAATTTTCAACTCTTCGTCTTAAATTTTAATGTATACATGGAATTTAAACTTTTTAACACATTTTCGAAAATTCGAAGTTAATTTCGAAAATTCGAACTTAATTTCGAATTTCTAAAAATCTTGATAATTATTCCTTTGTACCCTTAACTAACAAAAATAAAAGAATTTTGAAATTTTATCAAGTTTTCTTTGTTTAAAATTAAAACACTTTTTTTCAAAATTGTTTACTTTTTTAACTTTTTACAAGTTTGCATGCTCTTTATTTAAAATTCCATTTCATTTTTTTGTGTTTTTTTTTGTCTTTAATGACATTGCAAGTGTTACAGTTTTTTTGTTGTTTTGTTTTTTTACACCATAATATTTATGGTTTGCTATAAATAATACATAATCGGTTTAATACTTGAGAAATACAACAATCAAAAAATAGTTAAAGTTTTGTTTTAAAGTTGTATCTACAATAGTATAAGGTTATAGTAAGTATAGTAAATTTACTACGAAAGCGTTCGTTCTGTTGCTGCAGTTGCTAATTTTAATACAGTACTTAGTATATGTTCCTATTAATAAAACTTGAGGTGGTACTGGTACTGGAGGTGGTGGTCGTGCTGTTGGCGTTGCCATATGAATTTAAGCCTTAGTTTCGGATTCATTGTTGGTGGCCTGAGAGGTGGCATCGCTGGATTTGCCATCATCAACCTTGCCAAAGACACAGCAGGGGCATTTCTCTTTCAAGGCAATGCGGTATTTGGGATGACTTTTGAAGCGTGAATTATATTATTAATTGGGTAAAAAGGGGTGAAATTTAAAATATATTACCTGATACCATAGACAATGGGATTGTAGCAGGCTGCCGATTTGGCAAAGCAAGCGCCCCAGATGGTATTCAAGGGGGTGAGTCCTTCATATTTGAATAGACCCAAGGTATTGATAATGGTGTAGGGAGTCCAGGCCATGAACCACAAGGAGATGGTAACCAAGGCTACTTTAGCCAATTTGCCCTCGGCGCTCTTGTCGGCATCCTCAGATGAGCGCAAAGATTTGACATTCATTTTCTTGGCTTGTTCGCGCATGGCTTTCTCGTGAGCTGATACAGCCTAAAGGGAGTTAAATGTAAATATTTCCTTAAAAGTGTGAGAGTTTAACAGCAAATAAACTTACCGCAATGATAAACCAGTAGGAATAGCAGATCAAGAATAGTGGCAGATAGTATACAAATATAGAATAGAAGATCAAATAAGAGCGAGGATTCCAATCACGTTCCAAATAATCAATACCGCAAGATGTCAAATTGCCCTCTGGCACATACCTTTTAAATGTAGGGTTTCATTAAACACTATAGAAATAATACAAATTAATTTCCTCCTTTACCTGCTCCAGCCAAATATCGGTGCCAAGGTCCAGATACTAGCCATAAACCAGATCAATGCAATTTTCATTATGGCCAATTTAATGGTCATCGGCTGACCGGCCATACCCTTGACAATGACATTATAACGATCCAACGAGATCATACACATCGACAGTATTGAACTGCAGCCGAAAGCTGAGCCGAGACCAGCATAAACATCACACATTAATGGACCCAATACCCATGTCTCGTAGAAGAGATTTATGCCCATCATGGGAGTATTGGTGATCATGATGCCAAAATCGGATATCGCTAGATTAATAACTAAAAGATTTGCAGGCGTACGTAGAGATTTGGTTGTGGAGAATATATAAATCACCACACCGTTTCCGCACCATGAAATTAAGCCAATCACAACCATATAAGCAGTCAAAAGTTTGGCCCACATTGGATCCATAGCGGGAAATTGATTCCAGTATGGATGTACTAAGTGGGCCATGTCGGGTGTAACCTGTAAGAGTGTGTAAAATATTTTGTATAAGTTCTTTTAAAAATAATTTTTCTGTTGAAAATCTGGAAAATTTGTGGGCTTTTTAAGAAAAATTGTATTGAAATTTTTAAATTATTTTTACATTATTTAAAAGCTTATGTTGAGAGCTTTTAAAATGGTTAAAAACAATTTAGGATTTTTTAATAGTTTTAATAAAAAAAGATTTTTTAGAAAGGAATTTAGGTTTTTGAAATGTTTGCTGTCTTTTTTTAAAGATTTTATTAAAATTTTTTAATTATTTTTATATTATTGAAAAGCTTATATTGAAAGCTTTCAAAAAGTGTCAAAACATTTTCGGAATTCTTAGTTAAAACTAAAAATTTAAGGAATTTAACCTTTTAGCTTCTACATTTTATTAGTCTTTTTCTTACAAAAACCTTACCAACCTTATCTGTTACAGATCCATTTGATAGGGCGGCAAAGCTTGGCCCTATTATCGGTGAGGAATATCTGTTGAACAAAAGTAAACAAAAAAATCACTTTTGAAACAATTTTCTTTAATAAAAACAATTATTTTTGCTTTAATACCTTTCCATATTTTTTCTACTAAATTAAATTAAAAAATTTTAAAATAGTCTTTTTTTGTTTTCTTTTATCTATAAATTGGAAAAATAAAACCGTTTTTTTCAAATTTTTCAAAAACTCATTTCAAAACAACCGAAAAAAATCTGTAAATTTTTAGATCACTTTCAAATGTTTTTATTTTGCAATTTTTTTTTTTTCACCGGTCAGTACTAAATGTGGCGATTTTAGTTCTCGTTATCAACCTGCAAGCGGAACCTTAAAATGCACTTATTTATATAGTTTTGTGTTGAGACCCAGCGCCTTAAAAGAAATTAGGTTTTAACAATGAAAATTAAATTAACTACTTGTAAGTGTTTAAGTGCCCGGCAGACAGACATAAGTTGTATATGCAATAAAAAAATATATATAAACAGATTTCTTTCTATATCCAAAGCCCCCTTTAAAATGGAAGACCTGACAAACATATGTGTATAAAGAAATTGGTTTTCTTACGGGCATTAATTTTCTTTAAGCTTTTCACTTTATTTTCATATTTCTGTCTCAGGGTGATGATTTTTTCTGTTAGAGGTTTCAATGTCAATATATACAATATTTTTGTTCAGTTAAAGGGTTTCCTTTCTTTATTGCTTTTGTCTTTAAGATTTGACGGTGCTGATGATGATGATGTTGATGTCTACGTCGAAACAAAGAATATTTAAAAGCAAAAATAAAAATTACCGAAAACGTGGTGGTCAATGTTTCTTTAAAATTATTCTTTTTGTTTAACACCTTGTAATTTTAAATGTTTTTTAACACACGCAGTTAAAAAATGTTTAAAAAGTTGCATATGTGAAAATCAATAAAGTTCAAGAGAACTATTGAAAATTTTGATAATTTTGAAGAAATTCTAGTTAAGTGTTTAAAATCCAAAAGTAGTTCCCTAAAAGAGATAAGATGGATAGATAGATAGATAGATAGATAGATAGATAGATAGATAGATAGATAGATAGATAGATAGATAGATAGATAGATAGATAGATAGATAGATAGATAGATAGATAGATAGATAGATAGATAGATAGATAGATAGATAGATAGATAGATAGATAGATAGATAGATAGATAGATAGATAGATAGATAGATAGATAGATAGATAGATAGATAGATAGATAGATAGATAGATAGATAGATAGATAGATAGATAGATAGATAGATAGATAGATAGATCAGCTATCATATACGACTTGGATACATTTAATCTGCTTTTATTGGCCTCATATCCTGACGTCTAGTGCGAAGTGGTTTTGATTCTAATGGTAACTAGACGATTTCAATACTGTCCGACGTATCTGTCTTATTGCAAAACCCTAGAAAGAATTATTGACTTAGACTTGCGTTTAAAAGCGAATCAGTACTGAAATCCCTCTTAACTGCTGTGGATGGATTGGGGTTTCCTTATATTTTATATGTCATGATTGAAAACATATCACAGAGTGTTTGATCAGGTCTTTATACTAAAAAGACCTGACACCACTGCACTAAAAGAACTCAGGTCTGTCCTTTGAAAAACCTGAAAAAGATTGAAGGATTTATTTCGAAATCACAAAATAAATTAGAAATGGGATTCAATAGTCGATACATCGGTTCATAGAGTCCTACAACTGTTTACATGATAACAAACATAGAAACTCAGATAGGATGGGTTGGGGAATATAAATATAATAGATAGCTCAGTTCCTCAATTGGAGATTCTCCCAACCAATTGATAACTCAGTTCAGTTAGTTATCAAACCTATATATCAAACCTTGATATATGAAACACTTATCTGATGTATACCATCTGAAGAATCTACTTAGAAGAGCCTGTAAACTTTCTCACTCCATTGCCTTTCATAGGCAAACAGCCGACCTCAGGGCCACACTCTTAGCACTTCAATTAGAGGATAAGATCTGCTAGAAACCTGAAACCATATTTCATGCGATTAACTTGAAAAACATTTACTTTCTTCCGACAACTGATTTGTTTCGGAAACTGGTTGAGCAGTAAACATCCTTCCAGACAAAATGTTTACTAATTTGCTATGTAATGTTTTCCGCCTTAATAAATGACACCCTAGATATCTCTACAGATGAATCGAAGTCTACGAAGGGAGACTCTAACATACATATATTCCTTGCTTGAGAAAATAAGTGTGTTTCAGGCAGCACAATCGATGCCGCATCATTTAAATCTCGGCAATAAAAATAGCTGTGTTAATGGGATTAGACAGAATATGACTATCAACTTTCTATATACGAGTATCCATACGGGTTCAACTTAAGGTGTCGGGTTAATCTGAATTATCTGGCTATAATATTGCTACTGAACATGTTAAATTAGATCAATTCTAACTTATGCTTCAATAAACAGTTGGTCTTCTTTGGACAAAAAGTGTAATAGTTATCGATCTACTACAGGAAGTTCAGCTTATATGCAGCTTAGGCATAAGTGGTTCTATGAACACTTCCTCAAACGGGGCTTTGGAATCGTTGCCAGATATTTCTGCCATTGAAATATGAGGCGGCTCTTTACAAAGGCGTTTATACTCATCAATGTATGCTGGACATATTGGAAGGCTATACATAAACTTCGAATGTACTGCTTAACTGTGGGACAAAACAGTCCTGGAGAATATTCAGACTCTTCTGAATATTCTACACTACCTAATCACTACACTAGCTTTCAGGCAGTAGTGTAAAACCATAAAGATCCTATAGAGAGACCCTAACAAGAGCTGGACGAGAAGCAAAATCAAAATGAGCAAGTTTGAGGTTAGTATATTGAGTGGACACAACTATACAAAATTAGACGTGCGGATTCAGATGAATGTAAAGCATGTGTTTATATATTGTTAGGATTTTGTCAAAATTAGATCCAAATGTGTGTCAAAATGGAGTCCCTTCGACTCTAATTGACTGTTCGCGCGCTGTGAACTATCACGATAACCAACCAGATACAAATACTGCTGTTATCGGCAAAAGAGTAGTTAGATTTGGAAATATAAGAAAGTGCAGGATATAAAACTTTAGTCAATTCCTATTTCTGCGTTTCTTCCGTTTAATTTCCTTCGATCTAATCCCCTTATATTAAACCCCAAAAAAATGTTGTATACAACCCGGCATTTAAATAAGAAAAACCGCTAAAATTGTGTAAATTTTTTGTTAATTTTCAACACAATATATTAATTTGTTAAATACATCATGTTTTTTTTCGCTGAATTATACTAGAAGTTATAAATGACATGCAAAACAAAAAATCTGAAAAAAACAACACGATCAAAGATACAAAGAGCTAAAAAAAAAGAATTTCGAATTACACTCTATTTACTACTCTAACAACAAGTATTCAAACGAAATTCTAAATGTAAATTGAACAAAAAAAAAAAAAAAACAAGTAAGAAAGTATAGTCGTGCGTGGCCGACCATATGATACCCTACACCAGTTATGAATATTAAATGTGATTTATTTTTCATAATAAAGCATTTATCTTCAGTATTCCCTTGTTCCGATACATTTAAGCAATTTATGGATGAAAAACTAATTTTCTGAAAGAGACTTTATATGGGGGCTATGGGCAAATATGGACCAAGCCCGATAAAATTTTATGAATATATTTATATTTACATAATATTTTATTGTGCTGAATTTCATCGCGATATTTGTGTTTATAAGTTAATTTGGGACATTCAAGTAATTTTCTGAAGGGGAGCTAGGGTCAAATGGGGCCCGATCTTTATGAAATTTGGCAGGGTCATCAAGACTTCTATAAAACTTAGTTGTGCCGTAATTTATCGATATATCTGTATATTTAACATAATTATGAGCTCAGAAGCCCTTTTCGGGGGGTTCTGTTGTATGGGGGCTAGGTGAAATAATGGACCGATTTTAACCATTTTCAATAGGCTTCGTCCTTGGGTCAAATAAAACGTGCATGCCAAATTTCATCCAATTATCTTGAAAATAGCGACCTGTACCTTGCGCACAAGGTTTACATGCACAGTCAGCCAGCCAGCCAGACGGACGGACATAGCTTAATCGACTCAGAAAACGATTCTAAGCCGATTGGTATACTTTTAGGACGAATATTTTTGTATGTTAGAAACATCAGCACAAATCCAATATACCCTCCCCACTAAAGTGGTGTAGGGTATAACAAAAAACTAAACTCAAGTGGGAGAACAAGAAAGACAGAAAATTTTTGTGTATAGAATTGAAAACTTATTGAAAACCACAAAAATAAAATTAAAACTCAACAAGATCAACGACTAGCCAGCCGCCGTGTATGGTACTCGTGCGAGTAATACAAGTAAACAAAAAAAAACATTTAAAATAAATATTAAAATATGGACAAAATATAAAAAAAAAAATACCAAAAATAATTAACTACAGCATCATGACGAACATGATGCATCCAAGAGTTTAAATTTAAAACAGATGTGTTTTTTTTTTTGGTTGGTTTTGTGAGATCTCTATTTTATTTTAGTTAGATTTCAAATAGAAAGAGCACAAAAGTGAACAAAACATTTTTTTTAACAAAAAAAGATTTAAAAAAAAGCGCAGAATCCAAAAATAACGTCAGAATAAAAATATTGTAAAATATTTCAACGTCTACACAACGACTACACAAACTCGGAGTGAGAGTAAAGTGAGGGTCGCTGATCATGTTTTTATTGAAATTTTAAAACGGCTGAATTTCTTAGAGTTTTCTTTTTAAAGAAAAGTGTCTTTTTGAAAAAAAAAAAAAAATAGGAAAACACATGGCTGAATACTAGCCTATTAAACAAAGAGCGCCTAAAGAAAAAGAGAGTGCTTATGTTAGTGAGAGTTTTCTTATTCTGAAAAACCAGGAACTAATTTTCTGTTTAAAAAATTTTGGGGGAAAAATATTGAAAATAATGCGTGAGTTTTCATAAAACACGGAGAATTCATAACGTCTACATGTTTCCTTAACACAAAAAAACGAACGCCGAATATAACGTGTGGTTGAAGAAAAAAAAATATTGAAAAAAGTTTTCAATACATATAGAAATTATTTTGGAAATTTTTTAAAGAAAATTTGTAAGAAAAAAAATTACAAAAAAAATTGTGTGTTCTAAATAGTAGAAATATTGAAAATATGTTTTGTAATTGCGGTTAAAGAAATATATTAAGGAAAAATTGCAAAACGTGTTTTTTTTAAATAAAAGTGATATAAGAATTTTAAAAGAAAAATTTTTAAAAAATTATAAAAAAAGTGAAATTCTTTAAAAATAATTAAAATAAAAGCAATATTTTTGCTAAAATTTAATAAAATTATAAAAAATTTTAAAATATGAAAAATTTTAAAAATAATTAATATAAAAAGTGCAAATTTTGTTTAAATGTGTTTTTAAATTTATTGAAATTCTTCAAAATTTATTTAAAAAAATTTGAAATTCTTTTATAATTACGGCAATTAAAATAAATACAAAATATTAAAAAAAACTAATTCAAAATTTTTAAAAATATGAAAAAAATCCCTACAAAAAAGTTAGGATTTGAATAAATATTATTAAAAATAAAGTGAAAATGATTTAAACATTTTAAAAAGAAGTAAAATGAGATTTTTTAAATAAAGAAAAATTAATATAGAAAAAAATTTTGAAAAAATAATGATGGACTTGAATTCTTATAAAATTTTTCTGGAAAAAATAATAAATTATAAAGTGATCAAAATAATATTAAAACAATAATGAAACTACTCTTCTCTTTCTAACCACTTTAGATTAATAACAAGATCAGGCCCAATGCCTTAGATCTTCGAATGTCATTATAAGCCTATTAAATCAGAGCTACAATAACTTATTTCTAACACGATTTTCAAATTTGATCTGTAATTGTAATTGTCGGATCGTTTAAGTAGTTAGTCCTTACTAAGGCATGGGGGGTAATGATAACACAAAGTAATTCATTACATGGTCAATTAAAATTACTTATAATGTATAATTGAGCAATAACCAATTACAAATACTTGTAATTGAAGTTTTTCCAATTATAATTACTTGTAATTGAAGTTTTTCCAATTACAATTACTTGTAATGTGTAATTGACCAATAACCAATTACTTGTAATGTGTAATTGACCAATAACCAATTACAATTACTTGTAATTGTAATGGAAGTTTTGCCAATTAAAATTACTTGTAATCGTAACTGAAGTTTCCAATTAATTACAAATTACATGTAATTATAAGGAACAAAATTCACAATTATTAGTAATTGTAATTGGCAAAACTCCAATTACGATTATAAATAATTGTAATTGGCAAAACTTCAATTACAATTACATGTAATTATAATTGGCAAAAGTTCAATTACAATTACAAGTAATTGTAATTGGTAAAGCTTCATTTACAATTACTTCAAATGTAATTGTAATTGAAAATGTAGTCATTACCCCCAAACCCTGGTCCTTAGAAACTTATCGTGCGGAAATGTAATCTATTTTATGAATATTCGATGGATCCACCAAGACTTGACAAAACAAAATGAAGGTAGACCATTTGCTCCGTTCGACCATCAATCAGATCCGTAGAACTTATTTACATCGATTTCAAAGAGCAAATACGTCTTATATCTCAACTTTCCAATTCTGTAGGCAAGAATTGGCTTTGGCATGTTCGTCTATAATGTTGTAATAGAAATATCTGGTGTTCCGAACAGTTTCCTGTTCCCAGAGGTGGCTAATTCATCTGTAATGTTATTGCCAGGTATGTCAGAATGACTTGGAAACCAGAGATAATATAGTCAAGGAACGTCCGATATTCGAAAGGAAGGTTTAATGCGTTATAGATTTTAAAGTTCACGACTTTTCTTATGGTTAAAGTCTCGCCCATTATATAATAGGTTTGTGGAATAGGATCCATCTGCTTGGAGTCCAACAATGGAAGCTCCAGAATCCTCAAATGAAACGCGGTATGGATCCATCAGTAGATATATTCTTAAAGAGTAAGGTCTGTTGGTTGTCCGTTTGTCGGATACGAGAAGAGATCAATAGAAAATTTTTGCAAGAATGGTACTAGACTTTCAAATACCAGCAGACTGCCGAGTCTAAAGTCAATTGTTCAATTAATAAATCGATATGTAACAAATGCAGTAGTTCTCTGAAGAGTATGATCTATCCTTAGACCTTACAACGAATCGATTGGGTAGCTTTTCCCAAGATACAACGGATGTCTGATGTGACTACACTTCTAATACTGGAAGCGCTTAACCTTACTGTCAGTCAATACAGACAACGAGAGCACATGTCGTCTTGCTTCGTGTTATGCCTGTAATCTTAAGTGCTGAAGTCTACAGAATCTTTTCTATAGTTTAGTTCTTATTCTAAGTAATATCCCCCTGGACTAATTCCCCAAGTCCCCCTAAAGGCTTTCCTACATGCGTAACTAGCAACAGCTGCCCGCAATGCTCTCGTTAGAATCAAATTTTTGTTGTCCAATGTTTTATACGTTAAGGAATCAACCTATAGTAGGTTTCGAAATTCCACAATTTCTCGATCCGGCATTCTGTAATCTGTGATATCACTCTATTTATAAAAAGTCTACCTACAAACTGAATCGCTAAACCAAGCTCTTCTATTATCGTCATAATTGACCTTGTTAGCACGGGATCCTTCAAACAATTACTTCAAAATTAAGTTTAGATGTTAAATCTGATCGTCTTTGGGTAGTCTCATTAGTTTGGCAAATTATTCAATAATCCATGAATCATTTTTGAATATTTCACGACATAGATGTTAGATTTCGAGGGACTTAATTTGTTAGCTTTCGGGAAGTATGTCTCAATGTTTTGGAGTATAAAGCCCATGATTTTAGTTCGAAATTCTCGACCATCTTTGGTCAGTTCGTTTTTTAAATTGATTTAAAACCTTGAACAGTTCCAATTCAAAAGGATTTCAGTTGAATATATTTGGTCTATGGCTCCGTTTTGAGGAGCTCTTAGTTTAAATGAGATTTGATTTAGTTAGTACTGTCTAGTCATTTGATAGAGAAGAAAACGGTTGACTAACTGTACTGACATGGCTGTACTGTTCATGGCTCCTTTAAGGCTTAAAATGTCGGACAAAATGATGATACCTCGATCTCGTTGATCATACAGCACTTTATCTAAAACGAGGGGTGTAAATCTGACATTCACTTCCTTCGTACGCTTCGAGTTTGTTAGTCTCTAAAGATGATGACAACTTTTTAGGTTCCGATAAATTTAGAATATATCTAGCTTGACAGTCTTGTCATATGATGCTGTTCAATAATTGTTTTACAAGAAAGTTTTTTTTCCGGGAAATCTATTAAGAATTATTATAAATATTAAAATTTCTGAAAATTTAAAAGAATTCCCTTTTAATTATGTTAAGTTTTTAATGAAAATTTATTAAAAATTAACTTTATTTCTTTAAAAATTATACAGTCCCCTTTTAGAAAAAAGTTGGTGTAAAAATTTATTGCATAAAGAAAAGAACAGAAATCTTGTTGTATTGAGTGAAACCAGAAATTAGTGCAAAATGTCTGAAAATACCAAATAGGAATTTAAGAAAAAACAACAACAACAACAACACACAAAAAAAGAAAATGTGAAAATTTTATAAAAATAGAATTCGCTTAACGGAACGAATAAAAACGAGAAAAGTATAAAAAAAAACACACACCAAATTTTAAATGCGAAAACACACAAAACAACAACAAAAAACCAGAGGAAAAAGAAAATTAAACAAAAAAAAAAATATTGTATTGAAAAGAAAAAAGTATTGAAATAAAGAAAATGTGAAAAGTTAAAATAAAAGAAAATTTGCAACTCGAATAAAAGAGCTTTAAGAAAAAAAGAAAATTTTAATTAAATTAAAGTAAGAAAAATATACAAAAAATAATTTTAAAATTGAATTTTTAAAAAAATATTCAAACAACATGCAGTCCTCGAGCAGTAATACTAAAACCTCTAGCAATAAGTTACAAATAAATCCCAGCAAAACTTCTAGTGTTAAGACCAAGTCTACCACAGTTTTAAATCTCAATAATACAGCGGCTACCAAGGATTTAGAAACTTCTTTGGAAATAGAGAAAATCTCCAAAAAGATATCCGAACATGCAGATGCTTTATACAGAACCTGGAAAAGTCATGGTTTGGCTCCTACTGAAATATTGGATTTATATAATGTGGAGACGGGGGTGGCAGCTGGCGCCATAGTTGATGATAAAAATACCGAAGATTTACAGAAATTGGTGAATACTTTTGTTAATAAAGACAAAGAGCAAAGGGGTGTTAAAGTGTCAACAAACAAAACCAAATTGGGCGGATCGACAACAGCAACAACAACTAAAGGGGAACCCAAAATTATAGAGCATAAAATAAACACCACGGGGATTAATAGTACTAACAAGCTGGCAACACCTTTAACTACAGGTCTTAGTAGTGTAACAGCGCCCCAGTTGAAAACAAACAATATTTTAACGGAAACGGGTCTAATAAAGAAAACTACACAGTCCCCTATTAAAACTCCCAGTTTTTTAATGAAAAACTCGCCAGGCACAGATGTCAATGATAGCCCCAACTCCCCCAAAATAACAAAATTGAAAACCAGTAAACAAAACATATCAGGAACCTCCTCAGCACTAAGTGAACAAACACCAAAATCCCCCTCTTTTGCTAAGACGAAAACCAACACCACCACAACACCCAGCAAACCATTAGATATTGATATAGATTTCAATTTAGATTTGGATCTAAATTTAGATGTACACAAGCTAAGTCAACAGCAAAGTCAAAATTTACAAAAAATCAAAGAACTATTAAACAAAGAACCCACAAAAACTATCAGCAAAATACCGGGTATTTTAGGGGACTCTACGCCCTCGACGAAGGCAACGAAAGAGGTGAAAGTAAAGAAATCTTTAAGCGAGCAAAAACATAAACAAAATGAAGAAACGCCGGTACAAAAGAAATCCACAAATGAAACACAGCAGGCCGTCAGCAAAAAACTTGGCAACAAAGTGAAAACGTCTGATTCCACATCGATCACTAAAGCACATGATCTGCAACAATCAATTGCAGTGAAAGAGGAAAAATCAAAAATTCACGATAACAATAGAGACGGCAATATTGTCACCACGTCCCCAACAACCACAACAACAGCAATAACACAGCCCCAAATCAATAAAAAACGCACAAATTTAACAAACGCCACCAACAGCGACATTAGCGGCAGCAGCAGTGGCAAGAACAACAGTAGCGCCATTAGCGGCACAACCCCTATCATTACTAACGGCAATCTAACAGCATCGTCTCTCTTAGAAGAACTAAAGCAAACAACTAGCAACACTAACGGCGGCATTACCAACGATATATTACCAACAGCCATTATAAAAACAGCGAAAGTTTCCACAAAAACTATTAAGGCTCCCAAAATAAAAGAAAAATCCTCCACAAAATTAGAAACCAACAACAAGGAACTAACAACAGCTAAGATCAACAACGGTCAAATAGTAGAAGAACCTCAGCAACACCAACAACAACAACAACCAACGCAGCAGCAGCAAAAATCCTCAACTATAGACGTTAGTGCAGTAAGCGATAGTCATCAAAATATGGAAACACTACGCAGTGTTAGTAATAGTAGTACAACCATGCCAACACCCACGAAATTGAAATCGAAAAATTCCCTCAGCAATGGTCAAGAAAAATCTTGTAAATAACTTTTTAAAAAAAAATAACAAAAGTGTTTAAAATTAATATATTTTTTATATTTTTCTAAATTTTCCTTAAAAACCAGTACGCAGTCCATTTTTAACGCGTGGTTCTGTGGCGGAACGTGTTATGATTTTTGAAAAATGTCCAGATGTGCGCAATTCATTTTTAAATATTAAACGTCCCGATCGTGCAGATGCTCCTCCCAGATCTTTACTTAAGGTAAGTAAAAGGAAAAGAAATAGGAGAATAAAAAAATCCTGTATAAAACTTAAAGAAATTTTCAATTTTTTTTTTTGTTATCTAACCGTTTGAAATTTTTTTTTATAAAAAAATACGTTTTTTTCTAAATTGTGCTTCTTCGCCTTATAAACATGTGTAGTGCAAAAAAACGATCGCAAATACTATAAGTATAAGAAAATCTAAAGAAAAAAATCTAAAAAAGACATTAAAACAAATTAAAACAACAACAAGTTGTTGTAAGTGAAATAATCACAAAAAAAAAACTAATTACTATAAGTGAGAAAAATTTAAAAGAAAAACAATTGATCTAAACAAATTCACCACCAACAAACGCCACCACTTCTTTACAATTGATTGATCGAAATTCATTTTCTTTAAGGTTATTGAAGTGTGTGCCAATACTCTCTCCCTCTCTTAACCAACACTCTCATAGATTCTTTAAACAAAAAATTAAATGTTTTCTCTTATCTATTTTATTGTTTATTTTACTGTGAAATTGTTTGTTGGGTTGCTCATACACAACAATTTTTTTTAAATGTAAACAACTCCATCTCACTTTAAGTTGTGGGAGTGGAAGTTGACCACCTATAAGACTAACACAAGAAATTTTATTACACATAAACAGATATTGGGAAATTTTGGGGATGAAAAGTGAAAGTGATCACATATTTTTGTTGTTTTCTTTATTGGATCGTTTTTAAGAAAGTAGAACAGAACTAGAACAGTACTAGAACAGGACGAGAACAGAAGAACGAACTAGAACAAACTAGAAGTCTAGAACAGAACTAGAACAGTGAAGACTAGAACAGACTAGAACATAGAACAGAATAGAACAGAACTAGAACAGAACTAGAACAGAACTAGAACAGAACTAGAACAGAACTAGAACACAACTAGAACAGAACTAGAACAGAATAGACTAGAACAGAACTAGAACAGAACTAGAACAGAACTAGAACGACTAGAAGAACTAGAACAGAACTAGAACAGAACTAGAACAGAACTAGAACAGAACTGAACTAGAAAGACAGAACTAGAACAGAACTAGAACTAGAACCTAGAACAGAACTAGAACAGAAACAGAAACAGAACTAGAACAGAACTAGAACAGAACAGACAGAACTAGAACAAACTAGAACAGATAAACTAGAACAGAACTAGAACAGAACTAGAACGATAGAACAGAACTAGAACAGACTAGAAAATAGACAGAACTAGAACAGAACTAGAACAGAACGAGAACTAGAACTAGAACAGAACTAGAACAGAACTAGAACAGAACTAGAACAGAACTAGAACAGAACTAGAACAGAACTAGAACAGAACTAGAACAAACTAGACAACTAGAACAGAACTAGAACAGAACTAGAACAGAACTAGAACAGAACTAGAACAGACTAGAACAGAACTAGAACTAGAACAAACTAGAACGAACTAGAACAAACTAGAACGAACTAGAACAGAACTAGAACTAGACTAGAACTGAACTAGAACTGAACTAACTGACTAGAACTGAACTAGAACTGAACTAGAATGAACTAGAACTGAACTAGAACTGAACTAGAACTGAACTAGAACTGAACTAGAACTGAACTAGAACTTGAACTAGAACTGAACTAGAACTGAACTAGAACTGAAACTAGAACTGAACTAGAACTGAACTAGAACTGAACTAGAACTGAACTAGAACTGAACTAGAACTGAACTAGAACTGAACTAGAACTGAACTAGAACTGAACTAGAACTGAACTAGAACTGAACTAGAACTGAACTAGAACTGAACTAGAACTGAACTAGAACTGAACTAGAACTGAACTAGAACTGAACTAGAACTGAACTAGAACCTGAACTAGAACTGAACTAGAACTGAACTAGAACTGAACTAGAACTGAACTAGAACTGAACTAGAACTGAACTAGAATTGAACTAGAACTGTACTAGAACTGTAACTAGAACTGAACTAGAACTGAACTAGAACTGAACTAGAACTGAACTAGAACTGAACTAGAACTGAACTAGAACTGAACTAGAACTGAACTAGAACTGAACTAGAACTGAACTAGAACTGAACTAGAACTGAACTAGAACTGAACTAGAACTGAACTAGAATTGAACTAGAACTGTACTAGAACTGTACTAGAACTGAACTAGAACTGAACTAGAACTGAACTAGAACTGAACTAGAACTGAACTAGAACTGAACTAGAAACTGAACTAGAACTGAACTAGAACTGAACTAGAACTGAACTAGAACTGAACTAGAACTGAACTAGAACTGAACTAGAACTGAACTAGAATTGAACTAACTGTACTAGAACTGTACTAGAACTGACTAGAACTGAACTAGAACTGAACTAGAACTGAACTAGAACTGAACTAGAACTGAACTAGAACTGAACTAGAACTGAACTAGAAACTGAACTAGAACTGAACTAGAACTGAACTAGAACTGAACTAGAACTGAACTAGAACTGAACTAGAACTGAACTAGAACTGAACTAGAACTGAACTAGAACTGAACTAGAACTGAACTAGAACTGAACTAGAACTGAACTAGAACTGAACTAGAACTGAACTAGAACTGAACTAGAACTGAACTAGAACTGAACTAGAACTGAACTAGAACTGAACTAGAACTGACTAGAACTGAACTAGAATTGAACTAGAACTGTACTAGAACTGTAACTAGAACTGAACTAGAACTGAACTAGAACTGAACTAGAACTGAACTAGAAACTGAACTAGAACTGAACTAGAACTGAACTAGAACTGAACTAGAACTGACTAGAACTGAACTAGAACTGAACTAGAACTGAACTAGAACTGAACTAGAACTGAACTAGAACTGAACTAGAACTGAACTAGAACTGAACTAGAACTGACTACTGAACTAGAACTGAACTAGAACTGAACTAGAACTGAACTAGAACTGAACTAGAGCTGAACTAGAACTGAACTAGAACTGAACTAGAACTGAACTAGAGCTAAACTAGAACTGAACTAGAACTGAACTAAAACTGAACTAGAACTGAACTAGAATAGAACGACAATTTAACTAGAACAGAACTAGAACTGAACTGAAGGAGAGTGAATTTTTTAATGAAAATTATGTGTTATTAATGATTTATTATATTCTCTTAATTATAGAATTATTAAATGATCAGTAGCAGATTTGAGGTTTCCCATATGAAAATGGAATTTTAAGTTTTTTTTGTATACAAATCGATATTTTTATTTTTTTTTTTCAATTTTGCTTATTTCAATGTTATTATTTGGAATAATTATTATGTTCATCTATTAAAATATTTCTCGCTACTATATTAAAGTAAAAAATATTTGTAAATTGTTTAAAAATAACATTAAAATTGTTAGGGAATGTTTTACTAATTAATTAACTTTATTGAAAAGAATTTCAATAAAGTATTGAAATTTTATTGTTTATGCATAATTTTGTTCAAATAAAATTTCCTCTTGTATAATTTCGTAAACAAAGTGGAAATAGTTGGGCTGAAACTCAGCTAATAAAATAAAAATAAAGGTGCAAAAATAATTTAGAAAAAAAAATAATTCAAAAATCATCAATATTTATACTAAAACAATAAAAAGAAGAGATTTCAGATTTTCAATGTTTATTTATGCACGAATCATTTAAAACGAAAGAAACATATTTATTTTTGTTAATTTAAGAAATATTTGTTAAAGATTTTTAAGTAAATTTACGCGCGGGGTAAGCAACCCCCGCACACATGTAGTCAGTAAAAGAAGACAGACGGACGGACTCTATATGTGTATGTTTCTAGTTGTAGGTAAAACTAAATACATATTTATTTAATCAGTCAGGGTCAAGCTATAAAATAAACATTCTAATAAATTTATCTTTTAATTTATTTCCACACTATTTAACTCTTCTGTTTTATATATTTTGTTCATTCATTCATTCATTCATACATCCTACAGAGAAAAATATTGACGACATTGTCTTTGAAAATTTTGTATAATTTTTTCTTTAAATATGTATTTTAGAATAATTATTTTTTATGTCTGTCTTTAAGTGTTATAGGTCAGTTTTTATTTTAATTGAAAAAGTTGAAATGTATACTTTGTATTGCTGTATTTTTTGAAAAATTGTCTTATTAAATTAATTGCTTTTAATCAATAAAAAACATAAAACATTTCATTTTTAATTATTTTCAAAATTCTTGCCGCTTTCAATGTGCAGCCTTTGAAAAAATCAACAATTACAGATATTTATTTATATACATTGTTTTTTCTGATTATGAATATTTTGAAATAAACAATTTCCACTTACTTTAACGTAAGTGAATTTGAATTTTCGCAATCATTTTTATTGTGCAAACAAAATGAAAAGAAAATACCGAAATAAAAAATATTTATTTAATTAAACTACACCGTTTACTAAAGGAACTGAAGTAGAACAGAACTAGAATAGAACTAGAATATACTAGAACTGAACTAGAATATAACTAGAATATAACTAGAACTGAACTAGAACTGAACTAGAACTGAACTAGAACTAGAACTGAACTAGAACTGAACTAGAACTGAACTAGAACTGAACTAGAACTGAACTAGAACTGAACTAGAACTGAACTAGAACTGAACTAGAACTGAACTAGAACTGAACTAGAACTGAACTAGAACTGAACTAGAACTGAACTAGAACTGAACTAGAACTGAACTAGAACTGAACTAGAACTGAACTAGAACTGAACTGAACTAGAACTGAACTAGAACTGAACTAGAACTGAACTAGAACTGAACTAGAACTGAACTAGAACTGAACTAGAACTGAACTAGAACTGAACTAGAACTGAACTAGAACTGAACTAGAACTGAACTAGAACTGACTAGAACTGAACTAGAACTGAACTAGAACTGAACTAGAACTGAACTAGAACTGAACTAGAACTGAACCTAGAACTGAACTAGAACTGAACTAGAACTGAACTAGAACTGAA